TTTTGCCAGAGAGGTGGCAGGAGGCAGGCACACAGAGTCACAGGGACCACAGCTGAGAAAGCATTTCTTAAAGGTGGTGCAGTGTGTCGAGTTTTAGTAGGTATTTTCCTCCTTCTAAGAACGATAATCCCATTTAAAAAGTTAAGAAATGGGAAAAAGAGACCTGTACTAGTATCTGTGGAAGGAGCCCTGGTGGCGCGATGGTTAAATGCTCCACTGCTAATAGAAATTATGATGATTCGAAGCAACCAGCGGCTGAGGGACAAAAGACACCAAAACCCACCACCATCTAGTGGCTTCTGACTTAGAGACCCTAAAGGATAGAATAGAACTGTCCAATAGGGTTTCCAAGGCTGTACATCTTTGTGAAAGCAGACTGCCACATCTTTCTCCCGCAGAGAGCATGGTGGGTTCCAACCGCTTAATTTACGCTTAGCAGCTGAGCGCTTAACCACTGCGCCACCAGGCATATTCCTGTAATGATCACAGCTTGGAAAACCCTATGGGGCAGTTCTACTCTATCCTATAGAGTCGCTAAGTCGAAATTGACTTCATGTCAATGGACTGTATTCCTAACACCAGGAAAACTGCTCGTATGTAATAGTTGATCGCCAAATTAGGTCTTTAGTAACCTCACGGAATCAGGACGGAGTAAAAATTGGACTTTACAGCTCTGGTAGCGTGGTGCCTAAGGTACTTGACTGCTAACCAGAAAGCTGGCGGTTCAAACCCACCAGCCACTGCTCAGAAGGAAGATGAAGCAATCTACTTCCGTAGTAATACTGCCTCGAAACCCAAGGAGGGGTCGTTATGAGTGGGGTCCAACTCCCGGCACATAACAACAACAAGCGGAACATTGGGAGCTCACGTGGCTTAGTGCCTAAGGCATCTGACTGCTAACCAGAAGGCTGGCGGTTCAAACTCACCAGTCACTCCCTGGAAAGAAGTCTGGGCAATCTACTTCCGTAGAGAAACCGCCTCAAAAACCCAAGGAGTCGAATTGACTTGACGGCAGTGAGTTTGGTTTTTGGTTTTTTCAGGTGGAACATTATAAGCACAATATTTTGTTCTCCCCGTGTTTACGTGTACTGGAAGTTGGTCTTTTTCTGGTAAAGGGCAAAAGTATCCCAAACCAAAAAACAAACTCACTGCCATCAAGTCGTTTCCAGGCACACTTGAAAGCACGTTCTGAGAGGTGTGCGCAGGGACAGAGGATTCAGGCCACCCCTGCCAGACAACAAACCAGTTGGCTTCTCAACCCAAATACTCGATACCGCCCAAGGCGAAAGCACAGGAAAGGGTGTGGCCAAAGCGGGAAGTGATCCTGAGGTCCCGCCCCTCGCCCTGCGTCAGTGTCACCTGGTCACCCAAGGCAGGCAGACGGAGTTAGTGAGATTCCACCGCAGCGCGCGCTAACCACTCCAGCGGCTGTTGGGACGAACACAGGGTGGCTTTTTCCTTTGTGAGAGGCGCCGCTGCCGCAGTTACCTACATTCGTTGGGACAGTTGAGCATCTCCACCCCGTAAGTGTAAGAGAAATAGCAGGAAGTGGGGATGCAGGGGTGCATGGCTTACGGCTCCTAAAAAACCCGCTTTTCGATCATGCCAGCCTGAAACTGTTTTCTTCTTTGAAGGCTGCGGAGCTGGGGTAGGGGTGAAGGTGAAGGGGTGTTTGAAAGGTTGCGGGAGCCCGGACGGAGGCGGGAGATGAGGCGAGCGGCCGCCCTTTGGTTGGGTCGGTTTTGGCGCGCTCTCCCGTCCTCATTCCCTATTGGCTGGCTTGCTCCCGAGGCGCGCGTCTCAGTTGGTGCGCTAGGGCGCGCGGGACCGGACTGCAGCTCTAGAGCCGGTAGCCCAGAGGCGGAACTGGTGGAGTCGGGGCGTTTTGGATGTAGCTGGTGTGAGGAACTCATCTTACCGGGTACTTGGCTGTAGGGTTGAGAGGGACCGTCCGTTTCCTTTCCAGAATACAGAGAGTTGCTGTATTCTGAAGGGTGCACATGAGCTTGGCTCGTGGGAGAAGGTCGCTGAATCCTGAGTCTCCCATTGTAGGGATGTTTCTGTGATTTCTTCGTTTCTAAACGTTTTCTTTGTGCTCAGGCTTCTGCTAGATTTTTTTAAAAATAAATTTTAGTTAAAATATAACTGATGCAACATTTGTCAATGCTAACGTTTTTTACATGTTCAATTTGACATCATTTTGTGCAACCATCACTTCTACTAGAGTTTTTTATGTTGTTTAAGAGACAAGATACCGAAATAAAAAACCTAGAGAATAAAAGTCAAGTGCAAGGCTCCTGACAGGATTATGGTAAACATGTGGTGGATGAGACTTACTTGATCAGAGGCTTTCAACTTTTTAAATTATGACGAATACTAAAACATCCTTACATCGCCACGTAAAACACAGCCATATGACGAATTGAGACGTTTCACCAAACAGTACCTATGCTCACATGCTCTGCACTGTTTTCTCCTGTCTTTCTGTTCCATTTTATCCATTACATTTTTAAAAACACCTTTGGTTATGACCCATTAAATGGTTTCAGGTCAGAGGGAAAAAAACATTGCCCTGGATCAATATGGTGGGTTCTCATCTGGTATCTTAACACTAAATGGAATGAAATTAACAGAGAACATAACACATAACTGTATGTGTGTGTGTATAAATAAATATAACTATATTTTTATTTATTTATTTATTTTCTTTCCCTAAACTTTTTTCTTTGAGTAATGTAGGTGTGTGTGCTAGGGCACAGTGTAAAATGTATTAGCCAGGGATGGGTTATAGCCAAAGTTTGAAATCCACAACAATCAGGAAGATGTATCAGGGAGGCATAGACATGACTAGAGCCTTCAGATGTTGAGTTTGGAGTAAAATTAGACTGGTGGTCTAGTTAACCAGTCTAAAAACAAAAACCAAACTCACTGCCATGGAGAGGATTCCAACCTATAGTGACCCCCTTTGGGTTTCCGAGGTTGTAAATATTTACAGAGGAGTGGCTGGTGGGTTTGAACACCAACTTTCTGGTTAGCAGTCCCTTTAGCTAACACCACAGTACACACTCACACACACACACACACACACAGCCATCGAGTCGGATCTAACTCGTAACAACCACTCCTTGGGTTTCCGAAGTGGTGTCGCTACAGAAGTAGATTGTCCAACGTTCCTTCCAAGGAGTGGCTGGTGGGTTTGAACCTCCAGCCTTCTGATTAGCAGTCTACTGCCTTAGGCACTACACCACCAGAGCTCCCAAGCTGAGTTTATTACAGTTATTATAGTTTAAACCTGCCTTTGAAGAGCAAAGTTAGGATGCTATTCTTGAGGATGGCACATCTGAGTATCTGTGTTTTGCTTTTCCTGGTGACCATTTCTCAGATCTTTGAGAGACCTGTATTTAATCCAAGACACCATCACATTTTGCAAAATTTATTTACAGTACTGCATTTATGATGGAATTTCATTTCTATGACTCCATTGTAAGTAAGTTCTGATGTAGCTTGAATGCCTCTCCCCACCATCGTTACCTATTATTAGCAGTATCTCTATAAAATAGATCTTTACTTGCCTTTAGGAGTTGGAAACATTACATATAAATTTACAGATCTGTTTTAATACATACATACATAAAACAATACACAAATCATAAAAATTTGGTGAAGACTTAGATGACATTGGCGTGTTTGTCGTTTGTGGTATTAATTCCACTTGCGGACTGTTCTGAATCCTTTGGAATATCCCTGGGAATGGGGATGGCATTTCTAGTCAGAAAATTAGTAAGAGTTAATCTATATGGTCCCATCTGTTTTCTTCATATAGTTCCCCGTAAATCTCACTGCTTCCTGAATCTGTCAACTTTAGCAAAGCAATCAGCATTTGGATCCACGTTCTCAAACAACTGAAGCCCCTGATATAGTTTAGTAAGAACTTTTGGTAATCCTTTAACTATAATTTTTTTGACAACTTCTCTCCTTCTTCCTCATTATTTATTTCTTCAGCATTTCTTCCCTCTTAAAAATCCATTAAGTCCTGATCTGTCAGTTCCCTTTCTTCATGATCAATGAGCTGTTCCATATTGATATCAAATTATATGCTACAACATTGTCTGTAGTACATATTACTAATGATAAGATGTATGAACAAAAGAGAGAACACTTCTAAGTGTGCTTTATTATAACTCGAATATATTGTAAATCAGGTACCCAGATTATTGTTTTTGTGTGTATGTGTAAAATATAGTCAATAACTTTGTTGTTGTTAGATGCTGTCGAGTCATCTCTGACTCATAGCGACCCTGTGTACAGCAGAACTGAACACTGCCCGGTCCTGTGCCACCCCCACAATCTTTGCTATACCTGAGCCCATTGTTGTAGCTACTGTGTCAATCCATCTTGTTGAGGGCCTTCCACTTTTTTATTGACCCTCCACTTTACCAAGCATGATATCCTTTTCCAGGGAATGGTCCCTTCTAACAACATGACCAAAGTAGGTGAGACAAAGTCTGGCCATTCTCACTTCCAAGGAGAATTCCAGCTGCACTTCTTCCAAGACAGACCTGTTAGTTCTTTTAGCGGTCCATGGTACTTTCAGCATTCTTTGCCAACACCACAACTCAAAAGCATCAACTCTTCCGTCTTCTTATTCCTTGTCCAGTTCTCATATGCATATGAGTCAATTGAAAACCGTGGCTTGGGTTAGGTGAACGTTGGTCTTCAAGGAGACATCTGAGCTCTTCAGCACTTGAAAGAGGTCTTTTGCATCAGATTTGCCCAATGCTATATGTCATCTGATATCTTGACTGCTGCTTCCAATGGTGTTGTTGACTTTAACTTTATTCACCCTGTTATTAATAGGGCTGAGCATGGGTAGAGTGGGAAAAGGTGAGTAGTTCCACACACAGTATTTACTATGATTTTTATGACTGTATTTTCAGTAAAAAATCCAGACTCTACCCTCAGATGCAAACAATATTCTATTTTTCAGTTACTAGTCTCTGTGCTTCACCACTGTATAATGAATCCTATTATGAAGCAGAAACAAGAAGGACTCCAAGAGAATGTAAAGGTATGTGACAGAATGACTTTAATCTGTTGCAGGAAGCATGAGATTTGAAAGATTGTGACATGGTTTGGAGAAATTAAATCTGATTTATACAATTTCTGTAATTTTTAAATTACTGCATTTTAAGTCAGAGGACATGAATAGTAGGGTGACTCAGTGGTAAAGAACTTGGGTGCTAATAGAAAGTTTGTTGGTTCAAACCCACCAGCAACTCCATAGGAGAAAGATGTGACAGATTCCATAGATTGCAGCCTTGGAAACCCTATGAGGCAGTTCCACTTTGTCTTACAGTGTTGCTGTGAGTCAGAATTGACTCAATGGCCTTGGGTTAAACTTGGCCCTTTATTACCTAAGGGCTATTTTTGACAGCCATCCAATGTTGTTGGTGTGTCACTAGTAATAATGTTGGGATTTGTGATTATCTGACTTAATATTGCTTTTCTTAAAATACTGGCTAATCACAAGTTTCAATATCTTAGCATCCTTGTTGAAAATCAGTTGACTATAAATGTAAGGCGCTCTCTTAGCATAGTGCCTAAGGCACTTGACTGCTAACCAAAGGCTGGTGGTTCAAACCCACCAGCAACTCCTGGGAAGTAAGGTTGGGCAATCCTACTTCTGTAGTGATACTGCCTCGGAAACCCAAGGAGGGGTCGCTATGAGTCAGGGCTGACTCGACGGCACATAACAACAACAACAATAAATATAAAGGTTTATTTTTGGACTCTCGATTCTTTTCCATTGATCTATACGTTTCTTTTTATGCCAGTATCACATCATATTGATTATTGCAGCTTTATAGTTTTGAAATTGGGAAATGTGAGTTCTCAAGTTTTGTTCTTTTTCAAGGTTGTGTTGGCTATTCTGGGTCCTCTGAATTTGATATGAGTTTTAGAATCAGCCTGTCAATTTCTGCAGAAAACTCAGCTGGAATTTCTATACAATTGATGTTTGTATCTTCATTTTATATCCTGCAAACTTGCTGAACTTACTTTCTACTTTTAATAGTTTTTTAGTGGATTCCGTAGGGTTTTCTATATCTAAGATATAATACTGCTTTGTTTTTACTCTTACATTTCAGGATTTTATTAACATTAGTTGGATCTTCTGTTTGGTTCAGTTCTGCTTCCGAAATTATTACCTGGAGTGAGTTATAAAGCATCTCTGCCTGAGTTTACTCATCTATAAGCTAAAAAAAACAAACTCAGTGCCATCGAGTCAGTTGTCACTCATAGGGACCCTCATTGGATTTCAAAGGCAGTAAATCTTTACGGAGGAGCTCTGGTAGCATAGTGCCTAAGGCACTTGACTGCTAACCAGAAGGCTGGTGGTTCAAACCCACCAGCCACTCCTGGGAAGGAAGATGGGGCAATCTACTTCCGTAGTAATACTGCCTTGGAAACCCAAGCAGGGGTCTCTATGAGTCGGGTCCGACTCGACGGCACATAACAACAGCAACAACAACAAATCTTTACGGAGGCAGATTGCCCCATCTTCCTTCCACACAGTGGTTGGTGTGTTTGAACTGTAACCTTCTGGTTAGCAGTGAAATGGGAATTGGACTAGAATTAGATCTGTAAGAGTGAGTTTTAGTCTAAGATCCCTGCATTCCTTATTGATTGTATTCAAAATTCTGTGTGAATGTGCATTTTTTTGGGAGAAGGTTCATAGCATCTCAGGCTGTTTTCAAAAAAGGTTAAGAACCACTAATATGTGAGAATCTTTCTGGCTCTAAAGAATATTGTTTTTATGCATGATCTGTATAGAGAGAATGATAATAACAGTATTATATTTTTTAGAGCCAGATGTTATAAAGCATTAGTTTACATGTGTAAAATTTAAATCTTAGGAGTGGTTTTTTTTTTTTTTTGGTGACAATTACTTTCCTGGTTTCTTTGGCCATTATTAATAGCAAGCATTTATATAAATTAATACCTTCTATTAAGATTCCAAAGTTATTTTCTTCTATTTGTCTGGAGGCTGTTGACTAATCTGTAATCTAAATTATATCTGAAATGTTGGTATAATATTTGTTCTCAGAGTATCTGGCATTTGTTCTTCAATTAAATAGTGAGGTAAATAATCAGCAGTAGAAACTTTACCGTGGGAAAGGTGAACTCTTGTCATGTGAAGTACAGTGTGGAATCAGTAACTTTCTCACGCTGGTATGGTATCATGTTCTTGCTAACCTTGTTTGAGTGTTCACCATTGTTTGCTATCCCATGGTGGCAGTATAACTAATGATTTTTTTTGCAAAAATAAAGCTTTCAAATCAGGAAATATACAGGAAGGTATTTAAATATTACAAGGAAGGCGATAGATACTGTTTCCAAAGCAATAGCTTGGGCATATTAGAGTATTATAATTTTACCTCACGGAACTTTTAGCTGTTTCCTCATGAATGGGCTTGAAGCAAAATTGCTTCTGTGAGCAGGTGGTTGGGGGGAGTATTTTTTACATGTGTACCTTGTTTTCTATGAAGTATGTGCTTGAAACTTAATATTTTTTGTGAATACGTATGAATGTGTTAGGGAATATTCATGATTTAAAGGAATTTTGAGATGAATCCTTTTGATAAGGGGAAGAAGTATTTTTGCAGTGCAAATGATTAACCTTTTCCCCTCTCATTTACCTCTTTTTTTAATTTCTGCCATTAATGTTTGTTTTTTATAAAAGTGGAGTACCTATAAGTTTTAGTTGCTGTAAGAGCATTCTAAGGAGGAATACAGATATTCCTGTGGTACTAGAGTTTCATCACATGTGATATGAAATATTAGAGCTTAGTAATTTTGTTATATTTTTATTTTAACTGGATATAATTAGTTGACAAACTGGTTATATTTTAGCAAGAGTATATATTGAAGTGGGAGGAGAAAAGTTACTTGTTTGTTTGTCAGGTTTGAGTGATTTGATCCATTCTTAAGAATTTTTTAAAAACTATATTAAAATTTTAGAGAAAAAAATAAATTTTCCAGTTGATTGTCAGTCTCTTTATTATCCATATGGCGTTATATAGTTATATAACAGGACAAATGTTAGCATTCTGAGCATTTCTTTTTCCTTCTTCCAAATTATAGTAGAACTCAGACAATGATAGTCTATATAGAAACTCAGTAACTAAATAATGAATTAATTTGACTTTTAGAATAGTCCTGTCCCAAGAAGAACTCTAAAGATGATTCAACCATCAGCAGCCGGATCTCTTGTTGGAAGAGAATGTGAGGTATGCATTATTGGGTTAGAAAGGGATAGACGAAATAAAAACCTCTGCATTAAAAATATTTTTAACATTTTCTTGGTTAGAAATAATAAATCAGTGAAATTTGGATATAATTTAAGAGTTACAATTAGATATTCCCCAAAGAAGTGGTTTTTGTTTAATTGTTCAACTTAGAAAGCTCCAAATTTGTATGAATACCTCTAGTGAAACTGCAATAGTATAATAACTTACACTATCTTATTCTATAAGATAATGATGTTCTGAGAATAGAATGTTAGATTCTTCCATTTATCTTTCTATGGAAATGATGGAATCATGAATGAGGATGTCTAGACTTTGGCAGGTTGAGACTGTTGCCTTTCCATGGTACTAAATTATTTAAATACAGTAAAATAATTTCAGCTGAGGTTTAGTTTGTTTTTTGTTTTTTGTTTTTGTTAGATCCAGCTCTGTTGAAAAAGTTTGCTGCAAATAAAATTCCTAAAGTTTAACTATGTGTTTAGTTTTGAGTTGTATAATTTTAAAAAAGGAGAACCAAAGACTTAAAAAAAAAAAAAAAAAAAAGACTTCTCTATTTTTGATACATAAATGCCAAAACATCCAACTTTTCTATTCAGTAAATCAAAATAAATGAGATTGATTTATGTATTTCCATTATAGTTGGTCAAAGGCTTATCCAAAAAGAAACATGGGAATAGCCAGTTAACATCTAAGACTTCCAGCTCTGTTATTGTCCCAGAAAATAGTGAAAATAAAAATCTTGGAGGAGTCACCCAAGAAGCATTTGATCTTATGATTAAAGGTATGTAAAAATATATAACTTTTATCTTAAATTTTTTTAGTTACAATACAAGGATAATATATATTTATTATACTGTTAAGGAATTCTGGTGGTGCTACGGTTAAAGCATCCGGCTGCTAACCAGAAGGCTGGTGGTTCAAACCCACTAGCTGCTTCATGGGAAAAGGATGGGGTTTCTGCTTCTATAAAGATTTACAACCTTAGAAACCCAATGGGGCAGTTCGACTCTCTGTGATGGGGTTGCTGTGAGTCATAATTGACTTAATGGCAGTGAGTTTGTATTATACTGTTAAAAATAATACAGCCCATAGCCTCTTCACTGGAAAAATGTTAGATTCTTCATTTGTATATTTTGTGTTTTCTTACTAATTGGACAGATAAGAACATTTGTTTTTTAAGATCCAAATGTGGGTGAAATATTAAGGAAAGAGGTAGTTGGTTAAATGGCAGCTCTGATACTGTATTGCCTTGTAAGACTTTACAAGATGGGAAACAGGCTTTTTCAGAAGAAAAAAATGTGTAGAGAATGATTTTGAATTAATAACAATTTTAATATTCCAGGAGAATGTGAAGTAAGGGAACTAGTGGAAACATGCCCAAAGTAAAGGCAGTGAAGATGAATGAGAACTATACCCATAATAAGTAGTAGTTTTTAATGCACTGGCAGCAGCAATCAAAAGAGAAAGCTAATAATGTCTTATAAGCATTATGTAAGATTATTACATCTGTATTATCTGTTAGTCATTTGATACTGTAACTGATGAGAAAACTGAAGCCTAGAAAAATTAATTGACTTGGTTAAGGTCGTTAGGACATTTGGGATCATTCTGAGTTACCTGGAAGGCAATAAGGAAAAAGATTAATAGACAGTAGGGTTTTATTACCCACAATTAGGAAAGGTGGAAAGATCTTTAGTAACATTGTGGAATAAATTGTGACACTTAACTGATTTGGTTAAAATTAAATCAACAATGGTAGGTGGGACAACACTAAAGTTAAATGGAGAAGCAAACAACTATATAACATATTGCTAAATAACCACATAGAAGGAAGAAAATTAAATTCGTATCACTTGACCATAGAACTCTGACTGTAGACCCTTAGTGTGGGATATAATGTTAAGAAAAAGAACTACAAGAAATCTTAATAAAGTTATTTTAAGCTTGTTGTTTACAGTGATAATGGTACAGCAGTTCTGAAACTGTTTTGTATATATTTTAGGTTTAGACTAATGAGTAGTATGTTGATGTTAGGAGCCAGGTCATAATATGGTGAAGGCAGATAAAAATATGGATTGGGAAAGGAAAGGAAGAACCCTGTGTTGTTGAATTGGAACTGGGATTATAAGTGTAAACGAATGTTTTTTTAAAAAGGTGTATTTCCTAGCTTTGCTCCTAAAGAAGCTTAAAAACAAATGACACCCCAATAGCAAGGACCACACCTAGTGTCCAGTTCTTAGTTTGTAAACATTGTTCTCTACTATAAGCTCCTTAGAGAACAGGCTGATCTCAGGACTAGGGCTGGGAAAACTAGATGAGCCTGGAATATCTAGTGCCTGAATATAAAGAGCTACTGAAAAACTGATGGACATAAAAGCATAATAGTTAATTGAAGGGGTTTTTTTACTAGCTGTATTTGGGACAATTAAACATTAAAATGAATAATGACCAGAATGGCTTATAATGCAATGAACAAAAAAAGCACACATGAGTCCATATTGCTGATTATTTTTTTAAATTGGGCTAGAGAAAATTCTTACTAGAGAATGCCAGTTACAGAATGTAGAGGGAATTATATAAATAGAAGATTACCATTTTTCATTCACTGTAGAATAGATTTAAACAAGAAACATCTACAGAGTTAAAATTGCATGAAAGGTCATTATGGAACAGATAATTCATAGACTGAGAAGTTTACCCTGCAGGTCATTGTTTAAATACTAAGGCAAAAGCTATCCTTACAAGGGAGAAATCTGATAGATAGTTTGTTAACCAAATGATCAAAATTAACATTTCCCATTTATGACATTGGCATCCTGTCCTTCCTGTGATACACTGAAGACACAACATACTTAGGCAATATTTCTGCCAAAAATACTTTGTTTGAATCTAATCATAGAAATAGGCAAAGCCAAATTTAAGGACAGTGTATAAAACACTGATCTCCATCTTTAAAAAATGTCTGTTTAACAACCAGATAAACACACACAAACACACAAAGCAGATACTGTAAAATTTTCTATCAATTTAGGGACAGATGATATGTATGTTTATTGCATTTTTGTTGCAACTCCTCTGAAGGATTGAAATATTTAAAAATAAAATGTTGGAAAAATAGAAAAACATTGATTTTGTTATCTAATCTTCTAAAACTGGGTGGGACTGAGTAATATGGGTTGTACTAACTGAATAAGACTGGAAATCATTTTTAAATAGGAAGAAATTAGCATATAACATGTCAACATGTAAAACATCAATTTATTTCAGAAAATCCATCCTCTCAGTATTGGAAAGAAGTAGCAGAAAAACGGAGGAAGGCTCTCTATGAAGCCCTTAAGGAAAATGAGAAGGTATTTACTGAGTATAACTATTTGTGGCATATTTAAAAATTCTGGGATTGTTTTCCTTCTGCTGCTTGGCTTATTTATTTAGGACAATATAAGCTAGCTGTAATGGCGGTGTAACCAAACCAAACCCAAACCCACACCCACACCCACAGCAATAGAGTCAATTCTGACTCATAGCAACCCTTTAAGACATAGCAGAGCTGTCCCATAGGGTTTCCAAGGCTGTAAATCTTTATGGAAGCAGACTGCCACATCTTTGTTCTGTGGAGTGGCTGGTGGGTTCAAACTGCTGACCTTTTGGTTAGCAGCTGAATGCGCCACCAGAGCTCCTTAATGTTGGCCTAAGAAAGTATAATGAGAAAAGCAGCACTGTTAGAATTATTTTACAAAAAGAAGCTTGTTGTGTAGAGAGACAAAGATACCATTTTGATTAGGACTTTATTAATTATATACTTGGAGGCTTAAGGTTTGGTTTATAGCATATCCATATCTATGGAATACTGAACTCTATTTATGTTATATAGCTTCATAAAGAAATTGAAGAAAAGGACAATGAAATTGCCCGCTTGAAAAAAGAGAACAAAGAATTGGCAGAAGTAGCAGAACATGTGCAGTATATGGCTGAAGTGATAGAGGTAGGTATTTTTAACATTCATCTTATTGCAAAATCATCTTATTTTTTCTATGAAGTTGAAGGAGTATTGTATCAGTGTTTCAGCTCTGGAATCAGATTACCTGGGTTTGAGTGATAGCTCCTTGCCTAGCACTATGAATCAAGTAGGTTACTTATTCTGTCAGGGCTTTATTTTCTTCATCTGTAAAATGGGAACAATACTGCCTACTTCATAGGTTTGCTATGAGAATTAAATAAGTTACAATACATGGAAAGTTGAGAGAAGTGCCTGGCATGTAGTAGGAGCCCAATAATTGAGCTGTTACTTATATATTATAAAGCAATAGAACACCTGTTTTCTGATAGAGTTATAGAAAGGAGTCAACTTCTATATTAAAAATAGGAGAAAATAATGGAAGATTATATTTTGTAGTTGCCACGTTTTTAAAGCAGTTTTTACTTTTATCTAGTGTTTTTTTAGCGTCATTTATAAAACCGTTAATTGATGTGCTAAATAAGTTTGGTAGTTTTACCTTTTTCTTTTTTTAAAATTTGGAAATAGCTAATGGGTTTCTAATAATTAACTTGATGATTGTTACTATTAGTCTTACCTAAAATAAGTCTTAAGAGTTATTCATGTTTTGGGTATAGGGACGGATAGATGGGTGAACAAGCTAAACAATTAGGTATGTCTAAATGGAGAGTGTATCCAAGATCATATATAGGGTTGGCAGACAATGGGCCTATAAGTTCATGTGAATGATCAGAATTCTCAGGTGTATAGTAGAGCTGACAAGGGGCAAGGTTATGGTCATTACTTGGTGACAGCCACCTACCCAGAGGGACCGAGTAGTTGATCCTGCGGGCTTGGGACCATAGTCACAGGGGACATCAATCTCAAATTGGCATAACATACTATACAAAACATTGTTCCACCTACTACTTTGGCGAGTAGTGACTGGGACCTTAAAAGCTAGGAAGCTGCCATCTAGATGCAACAACGGGTCTCTCCTCGTCAAGAAGAAAGAAGAAAACCAAAATTAATGGAAACAATCAGTCCTAGCGACTGGTACACCATCCAATCTGCAACCTATACAACTATGAGACCAGAAGAACTAGATGGTGCCCAGCTACCACTGCCATCCACTTGGAAGGGATGTAGGAGATCCTGCATAAAGAGGAAGAACAATGTGGTACAAAACTCAAAATCATTTGGAGGCAAAAAAAAAAAAAAGGTGGGAACCAGGTTTGCTGGTCCAATAGAGCCTGGTGTAACCACTGAGACTATGGCCCCTAGCTGCCCTTCAGGTCTGGAATTGAACCCACAACTGGTTTCCAGCCAAAAAAAGTACAGGCATGTGAGTTAAACATTTACCTCAAGTAGACACACGCCCTGGAGAGAACAATCATGGGAGAAGGAAGGGCTGCTTATGCACAGGGAGATAGCTCAGGGTGCAAAAGAGTATGAAGGGATGGACACTGGGAGGAGGTAACTATGGGGAGGAAGTGGGAGGGGAGCTGCTGCATTATAAATTTTGGTCAATGACGTGAGACAAAGTATATGTGAACTGCTGTATGAAAAGTGAATTTACTCTGTAAATCTTCACCCAAATCCTAATTTAAAAAAAAAAAAAAAAAGAGTTATTCATGTTTGTAAAGAAGTCCATCTTGCTGATAGGAAGAAAGTTTTTCAAGTCAAAATTCCATGTCCTGAGTTGCTGCCTTACATGTTAGGGCTATGTCAGAATTAATGCTTGAAGTTTTTATTTAGAGGTACTGTAGAAGCTGTCTTAACTGCTGTAAAAGTATTGGTCCAGAGTGCACTGGAAATTAGAAAAACTAGTCCTTCCGTGCAGATAGAGAAGTACTGATTTAAATTTTATACTAAAGCATTTCAGTGCTTAAAAAAATAAGCAAATCAGTAAACACTGACTTTGCTGAAATATGATTGAGGGTAATAGACACTTGACTGCTTGTAAATGCATGTAATCGATGAGCGTGGCCCAAAGAACCTCATTACAGCTATAAGGGTCAGCTGTACCAGTATGCTGATAATGGACATGTGTTTTAAAGTTTTTGTAATAAATTACTGGTTTATTCTTTGAAAGAGACTGAAAGATGAACCTCTGGATAACTTTGAATCATCTGATAGTCAGGAATTTGAGTCTGAAGAAGAAACTGGTGAGGATTCTGAAGTGGATGATGACTCAGAAAATGGTACATGTGCTGAAGAAATTGTATCTTCCTCTACAGATGCAAAGCCTTGTATATGAATTCATTAATATTTGACTCTCCAGAAATACACTGCCGAAACTTACCTCCTCTATAGTTCTTTGTAACAGAGTAAATAACTATATAATGAAAACTCTGGAATCAGACTGACTTATTTGAATCCTGTGACTGTATTATTGTATCAAAATACAAATACTATGTATTTTTAATTTGTGTTTTATGTAAATAGCATTTTCTCACTTGTTTGGTATGACTTGTGTATATGATAAATAAACTTAAATCTCCTATTAAGAAGCATTGTGTATATCTTGATGGAAGGAACTATAAGAAGTCTGTAGAAAACTTTTCTTTTTCTATGCTTTTATATTGTTTTCTTTCTATTCCTCTGCTAACTATCTTAGAAGAAATGAGGAAAATGAGTGTATCCCTATTTAGACAAGACCAAACCTGGTTACACCTCAAAGTCACTGGAGGTATTGTTGATTCTCAGACTTCATCCTAGATACTATTCTTCTTGAGTAGTTTTTGAAATGGAGCATAAAAATCTATTTTTTCCAAAGCTCCTCAAGTAACTGATTAATCAGGTAAAGGCTTGGGTGGCTTAAAATGATGGGTGATGGTGATAATTAATCCTCTAAAGTGGGGGCAGGTGAAATTCCCAAGGAAGAGATGGCGAGAATAGTTGAGGGTTTTGAAGCTTTCTGTATTCACACGTTACACACACTGATATAGTTACAGAGTATATAAATATCGAGAGACTAATAATAGGGTGAGATTAGTGATTTCCTATATGAACTATGTTTTAAAGGAAGAAAAAGACAAAATAGGGGGAAATTGCAAAGTATACAGCACTGAGATTGAGGAAGTTCTGAAAGAAGCATACAGGTACCTTTGTATAGATTACCCTCAGATTCTTAATTTTCTCATCTCTAATATTGAGATAAACCAAACCCAGACCCACTGCCATCGAGTCAATTCTGACTCATAGCGACCCCCATTGGGTTTCTGAAGCAGTAAATCTTTACGAAAGTAGATTGCCTGTTGTCCTATGGCGTGGATGGTGGGTTTGAACTGCCATCCTTCTGGTTAGCAGTCAAATGCCTTAGTCACTGCACCACCAGCTCACTTCACAGTGTTATTGTGAGAATTGAAACCTGAACTAAATGCTTAAAAATTAGAAGCTGTTATTAATCTATGACAGCATCATCTAATAGAACTTTCTGAGATGATGAAAACACCTGTACTGTCCAATATGGTAGCTACTAAATCCACGTGGTTGCTTATTGGCCATTTGAAATAAATATATAAGAGAAAAAAATCTTTGACCTTAGGTTTGGGAAGATTTCTCAAATAAGACATGAAAAGCAAGAACTATACCAGAAAATTAAACTTACTAACTTAAATGAAAACTAAAGTCTCTTGGAAAGACAAAGAAAAGGCAAGCCACAGACTGGGAGAAAGTAAAACATCTGGAAAAGGGTTTCTATCTACCTATGTATCTTTCTGAAGAACTTTTATAACTCAGTAGAGGAACTAACCCAATTTTGAGAATAATTCAAATGATTTAAACAGAAGGCAACTAAGCACATTAAAAGCCACTCAATATCAGTAACTAGGGAAAAGCAAATTAAAACTACATAGGTAACTGCTAAATGCCTATCAGAATGGCTAACATTTAAAAAACAAAAACTTAAGGGCGGGGCAAGATGGCGGACTAGGCAGAAGGATTGCACAGACCCTCTTCAACAAAGAAAAGGGAAACCAATTAA